ATAAGCACCCAAATACATAAAGAAAATCTTAGAGGACTTCAAGAAAGATATTGACAGCAACACAATTATAGTGGGGGATTTTAACACCCCACTGTCAAAAATGGACAGATCTTCTAAACAAAATATCAACAAAGATATTGTGGCATTGAACAATACTCTAGATTAAATGGACTTAACTGATATATACAGGGCCCTCCATCCCAAAGAAGCTAAATACACATTCTTTTCAAATGCACATGGAACATTTTCAAAGATAGACCACATAATATGACAGAAAAACACACTCAACAAATTCAAGAAAATTGAAATCATATCAAGCATTTTCTCTGACCACAAGGGACTGAAACTAGAAACCAACCACAAGGGGAAAAAAAACCCCAAAACACTCAAATCATGAAGATTGAATAGCATGCTTTTTTAAAAGTTTTTTTTTAAGATTTTATTTTATTTATTTATCTTCAGAGAGGGAAGGGAGGGAGGGAGAGAGAGAGAGAGAGAGAGAGAGAGAGAGAGAGAGAGAGAGAGAAACACCAATGTGCGGTTGCTGGGGGTTCTGGCCTGCAACCCAGGAATGTACCCTGGCTGGGAGTTGAACCTGGGACACTTTGGTTCCCAGCCTGCACTCAATCCACTGAGCTACACCAGCCAGGGCTGAATAGCATGCTTCTAAACAATGGATGGGTCAAGAATGAAATTAGGGAAGAAATAAAAAAGTTTCTGGAAACAAATGAAAATGAACTCACAACAATCAAAAATCTATGGGACACAGCAAAGGCAGTCCTGAGAGGGAAGTTCATAGCGATACAGGCATACCTAAAAAAGATAGAAATATTTCAAACAAACAACCTAACCCTACGTCTACAAGAACTCAAGGAACAACAACAAAGACAGCCCAGAGCAAGTAGAAGGAAGGAAATAACCAAGATCAGAGCAGAATTAAATGACATAGAGACTAAAAGCACAGTTCTAAGGATCAATGAATCAGGAGCTGGTTCTTTGAAAAAATGAACAAAATCGACAAGCAGACTCATCAAGAAAAAAAGAGAAAAGACCCAAATAAACACAATCAGAAATGAAAGAGGAAAGATTACAACTGATACCACAGAAATACAAAGGATTGTAAGAAATTACTATGAAGAACTGTATGCCAAGAAATTTGAAAACCTAGGGGAAATGGACAAATTTCTAGAAAAATATAATCTTCCAAACTCAATGAAAAAGAAGCAGAAAGCCTGAACAGACCAATAACAGCAAAAGAAATTGAAGCAGTAATCAAAAAACTCCCAACACACAAAAGCCCTGGACCAGATGGTTTCACAGGAGAACTACAAAGCGTTTAAGAAAGAGCTAACCCCTATCCTTCACAGACTATTCCAAAAAATCCAAAAAGATGGAAGACTCCCAAACTCTTTTTATGAGGCCAACATCATCCTAATTCCAAAACCAGATAAAGACACAACAAAGAAAGAAAACTTCAGGCCAATATCGCTGATGAACATAGACACTAAAATCCTCAACAAAATACTGGCAAACCACATCCAACAATACATTAAAAAGATCATACACCATGACCAAGTGGATTCATTCCAGGGATGCAAGGATGGTACAATATTCACAAATCAGTAAATGTAACACATCACGTAAACAAAAGCAAAGACAAAAACCACATGATCATATCAATAGATGAAGAAAAAGCATTTGATAAGGTACAGCACCCATTTCTAATAAAAACACTCTGCAAAGTGGAAATAGAGGGAGTATTCCTCAACATAATAAAGGCCATATATGAGAGACCTACAGCCAACATCATACTCAATGGGCATAAATTAAAATCTTTTCCACTAAGATCAGGAACAAGACAAGACTGTCCACTTTCACCACTTCTATTCAATATAATACTGGAAGTTTTAGCCACAGCAATCAGACACAATAAAGAAATAAAAGGCATCCAAATTGGAAAGGAGGAAACAAAACTGTCACTGTTTGCAGATGACATGATAATGTACATAGAAAATCCTATAGCCTCGGGCAAAAAGCTGATTGACCTAATAAATGAATTTGGCAAAACAGCGGGATACAAAGTCAATATCCAGGAATCAAAGGCATTTCTGTACACCACCAATGAAACAGCAGAAGCAGAAATCAAGAAAATAATCCCATTTGAAATAGCAAAAAGAAAAGTAAAATACCTAGGAATAAACCTAACCAAAGAGGTAAAAAACCTGTATTCAGAAAACTACATAACACTCAGGAAAGAAATCAAGGAAGACACAAACCAATGGAAACATATACCGTGTTCATGGATTGGAAAAATTAATATCATCAAAATGTCCATACTACCCAAAGCAATGTACACATTCAATGCAATACATATTAAAGTACCAATGGCTTATTTCACAGACATAGAACAAACACTTCAAAAATTTATATGGAACCATAAATGACCCCGAATAGCTGCTGCAATTTTGAGAAAAAAGAGTAAAGTAGGAGGGATCACAATACCTCACACTAAACTATACTACAAGGCCACTGTAATCAAAACAGCCTGGTACTGGCATAAAAACAGGCACATGGACCAATGGAACAGAACAGAGAGCCCAGAAATAAACCCAAGTCTCTATGGTCAATTAATATTTGACAAAGGAGGCAGCAACATAAAATGGAGTAAAAATAGCCTCTTCAACAAATGGTGTTGGGAAAACTGGACAGCTACATGCAAAAAAAAAATGAAACTAGAGCACCAACTTACTATACCTTATACAAAAATAAATTCAAGGTGGGTAAAAGACTTAAATATAAACCATGACACCATTAAAGTCCTAGAGGAGAACGTAGGTAGGAAAATCTCAGATTTCACGCAGAAACTTTTTTACTGACATGTCCCCTAGAGCAAGGGACATAAAGGAAAGAATGAACAAATAGGACCTCATCAAAATAAAAAGCTTCTGCATAGCAAAGAAAACAGTATCAAAATAAAAAGAAAACCAACTGCATGGGAAAACATATTTGCCAATGATACCTCAGACATGGGTTTAATCTCCAAAATACATAAAGAATTTACACAACTCCACTCTAAAAAGACAAGCAACCCAATTAAAAAATGGGCAAAGGATGTGAACAGACACTTCTCTAAGGAGGACATACAGACTATCCAGAGATACATGAAAAGATTTTCAATATTGCTAGCTATCAGAGAGATGCAAATTAAAACCACAATGAGATACCACTTCACACCAGTCAGAATGGCCATCATAAACAAAGAGACAAACAACAAGTGTTGGAGAGGTTGTGGAGGTAAGAGGACCCTAGTGCACTGTTGGTGGGACTGCAGACTGGTACAACCACTATGGAAAACAGTATGGAACTTCCTCAGAAAACTAAAAATGGATCTGCCTTTTGACCCAGTAATTCCACTGCTGGGACTATATCCTAAGAATCCTAAAACACCAATACAAAAGAACCTTTCCACCCCAATGTTCATAGCAGCACAATTTATGATAGCTAAGTGCTGGAAGCAACCTAGATGCCCATCAGTAAATGAATGGATCAAAAAACTATGGTACATTTACACAATGGAATTCTCTGCAGCAGAAAGAAAGAAGGAGCTCCTACCCTTTGCAACAGCATGGATGGAGCTGGAAAGCATTATGCTAAGCAAAATAAGCCAGGCAGTGAAAGACAAATACCATATGATCTCACCTTTAACAGGAACCTAAACAACAAAACAAAGAAACAAGCAAAATATAGTCAAAGACACTGAAATAGAGGACAGGCTGACAGTGATCAGAGAGGAGAGAAGAGGGAATTTCAGGGGAAAATGGGAAGGGTTTGCAGGAACAAATTTAAAGGACACATGGACAAAAACTAGGGGGAGGGTGGTAATGGGAGGGAAGTGGGGAGGGAAGGGTGGGCGGGCTGGAATGGGAGTAAAAGGGAGAAACTGTACTCGAACATTGATTAAAATAAAATTTAAAAAAAACAAAGTCTATAATAAGAGACAAAGAAGGATACTACATAGAGGGAGTGATCCAACAAGAGGATATAGCTCTTGTAAACATTTATGTAACCAACAAGGAAGCACCTGAACATGTGCAGCAAAACTTGATGGACACAAAGGGAGAAATCAAAAGTAATACAGTCATAGTAGGGGACTTTAACACCCTGTTGAGATCAATGGATTGGTTTTCCAGACAGAAAGCCAAAAAGGAAACACTGGCCTTAAATGAGACACTACATCAGACTAACTTAATTATTTTCAGAGCATTTCACCCCAAAACAGCAGAACATACATTCTTTTCAAGTGCACATGGTACATTTTCTAGGATAAATCACATGTTAGGCCACAAAACAAGTCTCAATAAATTTAAGAAGACTGAAATAATTTCAAGCATCCTCTTTGATCACAGTAGTATAAAAATTAGAAATCAGTTACAAGAAAAAAAAACCCTGAAAAACACACAAACACATGGAGGCTAAGTAACATGTTAACTAAACAATCGATGGGTTAACAATGAGATCAAGGAAGAAATCAAAGATATCTTGAAACAAAAGAAAATGAAAACACCTCTCAAAACCCATGGCACACAATGAAAGCAGTCCTAACAGGGAATTTCATAGCAATACAGGCATACCTCAAGAAACAGAAAAATCTCAAATAAACAATCTAACATTATACTGAAAGGAACTAGAAAAAGAACAAACAAAGCCCAGAGCAAGTAGAAGAAAATAATAAGGATCAGAGCAGAAATAAATGAAATAGAGTCTAAAAAATAATGCAAAAGATGGATGAAACTGAAACCTGGTTCATTGAAAATGTGAACAAGACTGATAAAGTTTTAACCAGGCTCATCAAGAAAAAAAATAAAGAGAGGACCCAAATAATAAAATTAGAAATGAAATAGAAGTAAAACTGATACAACATAAATACAAAAATTTGTCAAAAAATATTACAGCACAGCGCAGCTCTCAGGCACCCAGCACATGCCTGCCCCACTGCCATGATGCCCAAGAGGAAGGTCAAGGGGTCAGCGAAGGAGGAGCTCAAGAGGAGATCAGGGAGGTTGTCAGCTAAACCTGCTCCTGCAAAAGTGGAAACCAAGCCAAAAAAGAAGGCAGGAAAGCACAAATCTGCAGACAAAAAGGTGCAAACGAAAGGGAAGAGGGGAGCAAAGGGAAAGCAGGCCAAAGTGGCTAACGAGGAACCTAAGGAAGATCTAAGAGTGGAAAATGGAGAAAGTAAAAACGAGGAGAGTCCAGCCTCGGATGAAGCAGGAGAAAAAGAAGCCAAGTCTGAGTAATATTCTATATTATGTCTTATCAGTGGCCCCTGTCTCCATTCTTGTACAATCCAGAGGAATGTTTTTACCAACTATTTTATAAATGCAAGCTTTTTAGTAGCTCTAGAAACATTTTTAAGAAGGAGGGAATTCCACCTCATCTTATTTTTTTTTCTAAGTGTAAATGATTTTTTTGAGAGGTGAAATCATTTGCTGGTTGTTTATTTTTTGGTACAACAAGAAAATAGTGGGATATTGAATATGGGAGGCTTTGATTGTCTTGGGTGCCAGCTAAACATTCCATAGATGGGGGTAGTTTTTATATCCTATAACACAAAGCATACTAAATGGCAATTTGGAGTCAGTTGTGCATTTACTATGTCTCGAACATTTTAAATTAACTTCTATTCTCAAGTTTATGGTAGAAGTGTTTCCTAAAGGAAACCACTCCTTGATCTTGTCCCCCCCCATCAAAACTTTGCACTCTGTAACTTCTTGTTGTGGTAGTCCAGTTTTCCTAATAACTTCATTAATGTACTGTGAAAGATTGAAAATTCTATTATGTAGTATATATATTAAATTGTGAATTAGTCAGGCTTTGATGTAACAGCATATCAACATTTGCAGATATTTGGTACTTGATCCTCTATTAAGAAAATTAGTCCCCAAATTTTAAGCTGGAAAGTTACTGGAATAACTTCAGAAAAGAATCATAACTACATGACTTTACATTTTTGGTACATATGTTAAGAATTGTGTACAAAATGAAATATCTGTGTACTTCAGAACAACCAATAAAATCTCACTTATGAAAAAAAAGAAAATATTACAAACAATTATATGCCAACAAATTGAACAATCAGGAAGAAATGTGTAATTTCCTAGATATATATAATCTTCCAAGATTGAATCAAGAAGAAAGAAATCTGAACAGACCAATTACAACCAACAAAATCAAAGCAGCAATGAAAAACTCCCAACAAACAAAAGTCCTGGACCCGATGGCTTCACAAGTGATTTTACCAAACATTCAAGGAAGAAATAACATCTATCCTCAAAATATTACAAAAATTTCAGGAGGAGGGAAGACTCCCAAGCTCATTTTACAAGGCCAGCATTATCCTAATTCTGAAACCAGATAAAGACACTACAAAGAAAGATAATTGTAGGCTGATACCCTGATGAACATAGATGCCAAAATCCTCAACAAAATATAAGCAAACCAAATTCATCAATGCATCAAAAAGATTATACACCATGAACAAGTGGGATTTATGCCTGGGATGCAAGGTTGGTACAATATCCACAAATCAATTAATGTACCGAAGGAAAAAAATGAAGGATAAATATCATATGATCACATCAATAGATGCAGAAAAAGCATTTGACAAAATCCAGTTCCCATTTATAATAAAAAACTCTCAGCAAAGTGGGAAAAGAGGGGACATACCTAGATGCAATAAAGATCATATAAAACAAACCCATACTTAAAGGAGAAAAAACTGGAAGCATTTCCCTTAAGATCAGGAGCAGACAGGGACGTCCACTTTTACCACTGGAAGTCCTAGCCACAGCAATCAGACAAATAAGAAGAAATAAAAGGCATCTGAATTGAAAAGGAAGAAGTAAAACTGTCATGATTTGCAGATGACATGATACTCTTTAAAGAGAACTCTAAAAAATCCACAAATACTATTAGAACTGATAAATGCACTCAGTAAAGTAGTAGGATACAAAATAGTCATAAATTGGCTGTATTTTTATACACCAAAATGAACTAAGAGAAAGGCAAACTAAGAAAATCTCATTTACAATTGCATCTAAAATAAAATAGCTAGGAATAAATTTAACCAAGGATTTTTAAAGATCTGTACTCAGAAAATTGTAAGAAACTGAAGAAGATACAAATAAATGGAAGCATATGCCATGCTCATGGAAAAGAAGAATTAACATCACTAAAATGTCCACACTACCAAAAGCAATCTATAGCTTTGATGCAATTCCTATCAAAATACCAATGGCATTTTTCACAAAACTAGAACAAGTAATTCAAAAATTTATATAGAACTATACAAGACCCCTAACAGCCACGGCAATCTTGAGAAAGAAGAACAAAGTTGGAGGTTTCAGGCTACCTAATATCAAACTATACTACAGGTTATAGTAATCAAAACAGCATGGTAATGGCACCAAAAAAACCCCAGACACATAGATAATGGAACAGAATAGAGAGCCCAAAAAATAAACCCACACCTGTATAGTCAATTAATATATGACAAGGGCAGCAAGAATATACAATGGAGTAAAGACAGTCTATGTTGAGAAAATTGGACAGACACACGCAAAAGAAAATGAAACTAGACCACCTTCTTATATCATATATAAGAATAGACTCCAAATGGATTAAACACTTAAATGCAAGACTCAAAACATAAAACTCCTAGAATATAGGCAGTAAAATCTCTGACATTGCTCTTAGCAAAAACTTTTTTCTGATATATCTCCTGAGGCAAGGGAAAGAAAAATATAACTGGGACTACATCAAACAAAAAAGTTGTTATACAGCAAAGGAAACCATCAACAAACGAAAAAACAAGCTACTGAATGGAAAAAGATATTCACCTATGATATATCTGATAAGGGGTTGATATCAAAATTTATAAAGAACTCATACATCTCAACACCAAAAAAATAAAGACTCCAAATAAAAATAGGCAGAGGACCTGAACAAACACTTCTTCAAAGAGGACATAGAAAAGACCAATAAACATGAAAAATGCTCACTATCAGAGAAATACAAATTAAAACCACAATGACATATCACCTCATACCTGATGGCTACCATCAAGAAGTCAACAAACTAGTGTTGGCAAGGATGCAGAGAAAATGGAACCCTCATCACTGTTGTTAGGATTGCAGATTGGTGCAGTCATTATGAAATGTAGTATGGAGGTTCCTCAGAAGATTAAAATTGGAACTGCCTTATGATCTGGTGATTCCACTTCTGTATATCTATCTACAGAAACCTAACAACCTAACTTGAATGAATATATGCACCCCTATATTCATTGCAGGTTATTTTCAATAGCCAAGATATGGAAGCAACCCAAGTGCCCACCAACAGATGAGAGGGTAAAAAAGTTGTGGTACATATACACAATGAAATATTACATGGCCATAAAAAAGAATGAAATTTTACCATTCACAACAGCATGGATGGACCTAGAGGGTATTATGCTAAGTGAAATAAGTCAGACAGAGAAAGACAAATACTATATGATTTCATTTATATGTGGACAAATTGGTAGTCACAAAATAGTCATAGGGATATAAAGTACAGCAGAGGGAGAATAGTCAATAATATTGTAATAACTGTGTATGGTTTTAGATGGGTACTAGACATATCAGGGTGATCACTTCTTAAGTTATATAAATGTCTAATAACTATGTTGTATACCTGAAACTAATATAATATTGTATATCAATTATAATTTAAAATAAAAAATTAATGGGAGTAAAAGATAGAAAATTGTACTTGAACAATTAAAATGAAATTTAAAAATAAATAAAATGTCATACACAAAAAATAAAAATAAAAAAATATATTTATAAAGACCTCAGGATAGGGAAGAATTTCTTCAATAAGAAGCAAAAAGCACTAATGATTGCTAAAGTAAACTATGTTAATCTTAGTTGAACATTAGATGTTAGAGAGAAGGTAATGAACTGGATCCAAAAATGACAGCAAAGTAAAAAGTTTAGGGGGATACACCCAACTGGACTGAAATGCCATGAAGTTGGAAAAGAAGTGGTCTGAAATGGCAGTGGGGATCTAGAAATAAGTAGGTAGAGAGAAAGGTGATTCCCACTTTCGTATAGTTATGTTCTATAAAGTTGCCATAAACGCTGATCTTAGTGAGAAATACAGGTTTAAGTTCCTATGAGTCTCTAGTCAAATTTCCACAAACTTATCAATATAGCACCTTGTTTTGACTGTTTAACGTATTTTTAATATTGTGATAGCAACAGAAATATATAACCCATGCCTGAATGGAGCGTATTTAACACATATTTTCTCTGTAAGATATGTCACAGCCTTCTTTATTTTTAATTTTTATGTATTGATTTGAGAAAGAGGAAGAGAGAGAAACATCAATTTGTTCCACTTATTTATGCATTCTTTGGAGGATTCTTTTTTTATTATATTTTATTGATTATACTATTACAGTTGTCCCAATTTTCTCTTTTCCCTCCTCTACCTAGGACTGCCTCCCCCCCCCCATCTCCCTCAGAGAATCCACACACCTTTGTTCATGTCCATGGGTCATGTATATAAGTTCTTTGGCCTCTCTATTTCCTATACAGTACTTCACATATCCATGACTATTCTGTAACTACCAATTTGTGCTTCTTAATCCCTTCACCTTTTCATCTATTCCCTTGACACCCCCCTATCATCTGGCTCCCATCAAACTGTTCTCTGTATCTATGATTCTGTTTCTATTCTGATTGTTTGCTTATTTTGTTTTTTAGCTTCAATTGTAGATAGATATGTCTTTATTGATGTTTTATTGTTCATATTTTTTAAAATCTTCTTTTTCTTAAATAAGTCCCTTTAACTTTTCACCATGGTATGATGGTGATGAACTCCTTTAGCTTTTTCTTGTCTATGAAGCTCTTTATTTGTCTTTTGATTCTAAGTGATAGCTTTGCTGGACACAGTAATCTTGGTTGTAGGTCTTTGCTTTTCATCACTCTGAATATCTTTTGCCAATCCTTTCTAACCTGCGAAGTTTCTTTTGAGAAATCAACTCACAGTCTTATGGGAACTCCCTTGTAGTTAACTACCTGCTTTTTTCTTTTTTTTTAAGATTTTATGTATTTATTTTTAAAGAGAAGGGAAGGGAGAGGGAAAGAGAAGAAGAGAAACATCAGTGTGTGGTTGTCTCTTATGTGCCCCCTACTGGGGACCTGGCCCACAACCCAGGTATGTGTCCTGACTGGGAATCCAACTGGTGACC